GAATCCAAATACTTAAAACTTTTTCTCTTGGAACGACTTGCCTATCAAGCCTCACGTCTTCCTTCATGAGCTACATCATTAAATGTGCAGTTCACACTCCTCGACTTGAAATTTTTAAATTTTAGAGTTGTTTTTAAACCTTGAGTGAGAAAAGTCACTATTGTTTATCTTTGGAATGTCATTAATTATTTATTCGGTTTGAACCGAAAATTTTCCTATATATGAATCAAAATTAGTCTTGTTTTATTTTTAATTAAAGATTTCTGGATGAAAATATAGGAAGTGTAGATAATTATTTTGTTAGTATTATATTTATTATCCAGAAAAGGGGTTGTGGGTGTGTAGTGGGAAAAGATGTAATTGGCTAATCCAACATGCAATGTTCTTCTTAAATACTCCTAAATAATTGAGTCAGTGGGACACGTAGCCACTTTGGCATGTAACCCTTTCGATCTCCACCTACAAATTAAAATATCCTTCAATCAATTCTTGATTTGATTACTTGAAAATTACTCACTACTAATCATAATTATAATAAATTGTTTATTTCAAAAATGAATTAAGCGCTTCTTCCACGAACCTTCGTCTTATTTTTTCCTACTATAATGTCTCGTCATATTTCCATTTCCATCGCCGGCTCCCTTCTTCAACACAAACCTCTTTTTGTTGTTACTCTAACTAAATTAATTACTAATTTTGCGTTCAAATCAGTTCCATTAGCCGTCTTGTTGATTTTTTCTCTGGTAAATATGTTCAATCTTTATACTACTATCGTTGTGTCTGGTTATGCTTGCTTTTATCTTTTATGGCAAATCTTGATCTGGTCTATTTCTCTGAATCAACTTCAAATTTTTCTTTCTTTTTTTTCCCTTATTGCATACTTTTCTGACTAATCTTGTTTTCCCAGCTGACCTGCTTTGACTAGTTGCTGAACTGGTCTCTTTTGGTATATTTGTGTTTTGAGCATCTTCCATTAAGGTACTGTTCTATTTGAGAAAGAATTACAACTTCAATAAGTATGCCCAAGTTTTTGTTTGGTCAATTATTCAGACCTTCATGTTTCAGGAGATTGTTGAAAATGGGATCTGCTGGGGAGAAGTTAGACCTTGAACTTGACGAGGAGATTCCGTTTAGCTCATCCCAGGGAACTATCAAAATAGACAGTCTGCATTATGAGGCACCTCATATTGCATCACCCAGAAGCTATCGCTCTACTAGGGTCTTAAGAAAGATGTATCAGATCAGCCTTCTAAGGAGTATATACATTGTTATTATCAAAGCAAAGATCAATGTGTTACTTCCTTTTGGCCCCCTGGCCATATTGCTTCACAATCTTACAGGAAAACATGTAATCATTGTTTTTAAGCTCTCTTCATATGCATATTTTTGATACTTCTTACAAGGATGCTGAATATAGACCATGTTGTTTTCTTCCTTATAATTATGCTTATCTCTGTGTTTTGTGTACAATTTGATCTTTCAGACTTGGGTCTTTTTCTTCAGTTTACTGGGCATTACACCTTTAGCTGAGCGCTTGGGCTATGTGACTGAGTAAGCTTGTTCTCTCCAAGTTAGTATAGTTCACTTCTGCTGCTATTCTTGTTTGTGCTCTTATTGACCTTCTTAATCCTCTTGTTACAGGCAGCTCGCGTTCTATACCGGGCCAACAGGTACTCACTCCCTTTTAATTATTTGTTTCATTTGTTCCTCCATTTCTATTTTCTATTTAAACACACTAGTTTCAAGCATGCCCTTTCGATTTCAAAAGATTCAGTCATGCTCCTATTAATTGAATTAGTCTGGAGAATTAAGTTAAGCTTCTCAAAATGCTTGCCATAATTAGTGCTTTTGTCAAGTTGGTATGCAGTCACCAGACTAAAAGAATCTGAATATGGTATCTAAGGTGAATTTAGTAGTGGCACTGAGTGAGCAGCAGTTCTATTCAACTCCGAACTGCAAAAGGCATTTAGATGAATGTAATATGTTGAACATAACACATCTTAAGTGGGGATGATTTAATGCAGTATCATTTAGTGGAAGTTCTGATGGAAAAACACTGCTGCAACATGTTTACCATGTTCTTTGCGCTTAGAGTCTTCTCTTTTGTTTGAGAAGGCTTGTGAGAAACCTGCTGCACTGCTGTATAATTGTGAATTAGTTTCTCATGCACTTATTAAAAGGAAAAAAGGAAAGACGTCATAAGATCTTACAGAGTCACTATACACAAGCTATTTCATTCTGTATCCAGGCTGGCTGAAGTATTTTGTTTTTGTCTGTTCCTATGAAATTACTTAGCAAGCTTCTGAATAATTGCTCATATGTTACTGATTTCCTTACTGACGCTAGTTGGATTGGTCGTCAGTTTCTTGTATCTTTTAAAATGGTTTTTATGCTTTGCAGTGCTTGAACTTTGTCTCATTGACCTTTGGTGGAATAGTGCATCATGTTGTTTTGATATTGTACATTGTATATTTGTTGAAACGAGTCAGTTACATGTGTGCTGTGTCTAATCTGTGGAGCCCATGACCACACCCCACTCCCACCACGTATTTATCGTTTTCTTAACAGCACACTATTTTTTTCTGATTTATAGTTGGGGGCCTTCTGAATGCTACATTTGGAAATGCAACTGAAATGATAATCTCGCTATATGCATTGAACAATGGAATGATGCGGGTTGTTAAACAGTCCTTGCTGGGTTCCATTTTATCAAATATGCTGTTGGTACTTGGCTGTGCCTTCTTCAGTGGTGGAATTATTCATCACCAGAAAGTTCAGGTGTTCAATAAGGTGATCATATTCTTCTGAGTCATCTACTCACGTCCTTGAATACATCTGTAATGAAGTTAACGGCCTTTTATTGATGAATTAAATAAAACTGAAAGTTAATACAATAAAATTCACATTTTATGAGCAATGGTTCAGTGTGATCTCTTATCATAATGTAGCCATTAAGTGCCTCTCTGCTTTAATGTGTAAACAGTCATTGAATTTGAAATGTTTCAGGCTGCTGCCATTGTGAACTCAGGATTATTGTTGATGGCAGTCATGGGTTTGTTATTTCCAGCTGTACTTCATTTCACCCACACAGAATTGCATTTTGGCAAGTCACAGTTGGCTCTTTCAAGATTTAGCAGTTGCATAATGCTGGTAGCATATGCAAGCTACCTATTCTTTCAGCTCAAGATTCAACCAAATCTGTATAGCTCTGTGAGTGAGGTAGATGGTCTAATTTTAGTTGTCTGATTTTCTTTAGGTTCCCTGTTTCTGTTTCACTACATTATGTTTTTCGCTGTAGTAATCAAATGTCTAATATGAGGTCTGAAGAGTGCACATATTTCGGATAGTTTTCGAGATGAATTTATACCAAAATATGTGATTGTTATTTTTTATTGCTGTAAATGATTTGTCAGATCTAATAGTTTCTCTGATATGTATACAGGATGAAGAACACAATTCAGCAGATTCTGAAGAGGAAGAGGCGCCTGAGATAACCCAGTGGGAAGCTATTGGGTGGCTTGCTGTTTTGACAATATGGATATCAGTGCTGTCTGGATATCTAGTAGATGCCATCGAGGTGATCTATTTGCCTTCCTCCTTTTCCCTTTCTTTTTCCTTTTCTTTTTCTTTTACGGTAAGCTGTTTTTATATACCAGTTTTATAAAGGTATATCTACCTCCTACTTAACTTTAGATGTTTCCTTTTAAGGTTATCAGAGAAAAAATTACATGATAATAAATAACCTCGTGCAGTAGACCTCCAGAAATTGACTGCCTTAATTTTTTTTGTCTAATCCTCATGATGCCTTTTGGTTCCACTGGAAAGCCCACACTACAAAAAGGTTCGCTACTTATTGGACATGGGAATTGTGAATGGAAGGTAGGGATTCAAATTGTGTGTCCTTCGTCCCGAGGGTCTGTTAAAAGTGAAACAAAAGTGTTTAATTTGCCTTTAGGAAAATTAGATCAGAAAATCAATCTATGTAGCACAGATCCACAAGGGGGTAATGTTGAGCATGCACGTGAAGACATCAGGGCATGAAAATAATTAATGGAACATGACAATAGTTGGATATAGTATCATAAATATTGAACAAATATTAGTAACTATTAAGCACCCAAGGGTGTGGCTTCAAAGTACCTGGTGCCTGTGTTGTTGGGAGGCAGCCACTTGGTGGGTAATTGAGGTGCGCACAAGCTGGGTGGGAGATTAGATTTATTTTTTAAAAATGCTAACCTGCTGAAGAGCAGGAAACAACACATAACAAAAATACATAATCCATAGATTCTAGTGCATATGTGTATGCACAAGATACAAAATAAAATATATATTTGAACATTAAAAAAGATACTATAATGTAGTAAGCAATTTAAAATGTTGACAGAGCAGTAATTGAGAGAACCAGTAGATCAGTAGAAAATTAACTAGGTGTATTCCTACTTCACCAGGTAAAGAATGACAAGATAGAGCCACACAAAATGAACGGGGCTTGTCCCTTCTTTTAACCATGTGAGAAGCAGCCCAGAACTCTAAAATATAAAAACAGCATTTTGTCTCAAAAAAAACAGCATTTAGTCAAGATATAGAGCAAGAAAAGTTTTGAATGCAATGTCATAGTTGCGAGAGAAGCTTTATTTAACTCTGGCTTAATTGATTTATGCAACATTATGTTGACCATCCCTCTCCTGTCTATCCATTCTATTGACCAAACTCTCTATGGCTTTCTGCATGGAGGCAAGTACCCCAGCAGTAGCATTCTCCTGCGATGTCGGAGGTGGACTAGCGCTCCTTTCTGGAGTGACCTCCCTTGAAGTCCTAATAGTGGTGTTGCGGTTCCCTATGGTAGCATAACGAACCTCTCCTCGACCAGTTCTGCGGGCTCTGTCCCTTCCCCAAGTTGAGGAAGTTGGCTGCCTAGCCGAAGTGACATTAGGCGCCTCAGAAACACCTGTTGTAGCTCTGCCATTAGATAATCGGGTTCGAGCCATCTGGTTAACAGAACGAATAATGTTAGATTAATCTAGTTGGCCCTAAACGTCACACACATAAGCAGGAATGAGAAAGAAGGACAAGACACATCCTATCACGTCCTCGCAGAATCACGATTATAGAAATGGCTGGCAACATAACCATAATTGAGATTCTACTACTAACGTGTGCTCCATAGGTCATAAGAATAACTTAGGGCTCTGATACCAACTTTGTCACGACCCAATTAAGGATCATGACCGGCGCTAAGGGGGAGAATCCCAAAGCAAGCCTCACCAGAACTCTACAGAAAATCGGGCAGAGTTTCCTTTGTTTTTAGGCCTATCCTGGATTTTTCCTGTCTCAGAATTTCACAACACAACTAATAGCAACTATAAACCACCATTTAATATCCATCAATGATCAAATTGTTGCGCAATAAAACCAATTCATCTCCAAATTTCGGAAAAAAAATTCTAAACTAGTCACTTAACTACAATTCGAAGGACTAATATTGACTCAATCAAAAGAATGACAAATGGAGCAACTCTAAGAGTTTTTAAAAGAAACTAAATAAACTTAACAAATCAATAGCTCTCTTGCCACGCGAAGCAATGCGGGGCTCACCAGATGCTACCAACTCACACGCTAGTTAATGAAATCCTCTTCAATACCACTTGAATTCTCTGTAAAAACAAATAGCGAGGAGTGAGACGCTAGCTCAGTGAGTAATAATACTTAACTACAACCGTTTTAATGAGGGACAAGTCAGAAAGCATGCTAGTGTAATAGTTATGATGATGAAACAATGCTCTTTCAGAAACAATAACAATATTCAACCTTAGGTGCCTCATATAAGCAAAATCAATGTAAATACATAATAGCAAACTCAGAAAAAGAACATTTTCATATCAAATCTTATAGTTGGGAGGTTTCCAATGATGAATCATGTAATCAGTGTGGTCTTCTCCTTAAGAAGTAACCAATAATAGTGAACTCCTCATAAATGAGTTAGTTATTCATATCAGTAGATCCCTACTCGAGGGATATCAGTAACAGTATACTAGTTCTACCTTTCCACTAGCAAGGGCTTTATCAGTAATCAGAACTACAAGGTGCACCAGGTCTAACGAACCCGCCGTTAGCTACGGGATTCATCAAGGTCTACTCCCATTTATATTTTTCTTGTAATAAGTAAAAACAATTCAAAATCGAACAACGCATTTAAATCTTATCAAATCATATCATTTCAAAGTTTAACAATCACTTGTCAAAATACTATTTCTCAAATAAGTGTAAAACCTTTTCAATATCAGTAATCATATCTTATACGAATGATATCATCTCAAATAATCTTTTCAGTATCATATCCAGTAAAAGACTTGTCCCACATGCAAGTTCAAAACATTCAATAACACATTTACTTTATAAACCATGTGAAAGTCATGCAAGTTATAAAACATCAATTGTGGTAAGATTACTACTCACTGTACTTGTGTTGAGTTACCAAGCTTGCCACTCAATCACTCCGTACGAATTCCTTTGGTCAATCTATAATCACATTCATAATAATTTCGTGTTAACTCCTTCATTTAGGTAATTTATACTACATTTTAAAAAAAGAAAAATCCAGCTCTATGGGTTTCATGACTGATTCGAAATCTGCCCAATCACTTAATTAGTGCTTTAATCACACACATTAGTCTCTTCTTGGTCAATTCTCGCTGTAAAAAGATCAACCTAACCTTACTGCCCAATTACTCTTATTGCATATAAGCCCAATACCAAAGTTTATAGTTCAAATCATTGACTATATTCACTTGGTTCATAAGAATGAAATAAATTTCCTCTTTTTCTTCTAAACCCATGTTTCTCAACTTCCCAATTCCCAATCTTATAGTCATGGAAGATACAAATTCAACCTTTAGACTAAGTTAAGAAACTTACCTTCTTCTCGTTCTTCTTCTTCTTCCACCTCTCTCTTTAGTTTGAGAGCTAAGGCTTTCAATTTAAATTTATGTTTCTCCTTCGTTCGTTCGCTCACTATAGAACAAGAAGAGTCCTTTTTTTTTTTTTTTCTTCTTTTGATCCCTGAAGTTGCAGCGTTGCTGCTGCTTCTGTTAGGGCTTTCAGCCCCTTTTTTTAAAAAAAATTCTGATCCTCTCTTCTTTTTTTAAAAATGAGAGCTAAATGACAATTATGCCCTTATTTTAATATAGGGTATTACATATAGTCTCCCATAAGCACCTAATAAAGTTGAGCTATGTGCATAATGCAAAAGGGCTCAATATTAGCTTTTAATCCTTTAGTGGCAATTTTTTGTTTCTTCATGGTAATTTATCTATTTCACTAATATTCTTTCAGGGTGCATCTGACTCGTTGAACATGCCGATGTCCTTTATTAGTGTCATCTTGCTTCCAATCGTAGGAAATGCGGCAGAACACGCCAGCGCAATCATGTTCGCAATGAAAGATAAGCTTGTGAGTTCTATAAAACTATATCTGCTTTCTCTTTTGCTCCAAAACAGTTACTAATGTATCCTTGTTGGCAGGACATCACACTTGGAGTTGCAATTGGGTCTTCTACTCAGATATCAATGTTTGTGGTAAGACATTTAATGCATTCCAACTATCCGAGATAGCTTTTTAAATTGTGGGATAATTTTTTATTTTTTTTTAGAAAAATATTTAGAGATCCTTATAAGGACCTTCCTATTTCTCCTGAGAGCACATAGTATTTCTGTGTCACTGTTAAATTTGGGGAAGCCAGGTTATATTTATTCAAGATAGATGATAGAGTTTACGCATTTAGTTGATAATTTCATATCTCGTGCTGTTGAAAATGCAGATACCGTTTTGCGTTGTCGTTGGTTGGTTTATGGGAAAGCCCATGGACTTGAATTTCCAATTATTCGAGACCGCTACACTCTTCATCACAGTGCTAGTCGTGGCATTCATGTTGCAGGTTCGGCATTCTACCCAGTTCTTTCTTAACATCCCTCACTTTCATCTCCCTCCCCCACCTCAGCCCTCCACCCCCAAAGAAAAAAAAGACAGAGACAAGAAAATTGTTCATATTTCCCTGTAAACTTGGTTCCTGGACCGTCAAATGTAGGCTTGTCACTAACTTCTGATGTTGCTTTTACACAATGTAGGAAGGCACATCAAACTATTTTAAAGGGTTGATGCTGATCCTATGCTATCTGATTGTTGCTGCAAGTTTTTTTGTTCACGTTGATCCATCCAATGGTAGGTCCCTAGTTTCATTCTTTTTTCCTTGTTCCCTTTGAAGCCTGAGCATCCTTTAAATCCATTTCCTTAATAATTTTCTAATACACAGTTGAGCACTTTGCTGTTTCTCCTTTCACATGGCTTCATTATCATTACCTTTTTTGTGCAAAACTTGTTGGCTTTATCTACTACCACCAAGGTTTAAGCATTTGATTAATAAGGAATGATTTTCACTCTCTTGAACTTAGTTTTAAATTGCCATGATAATCATGCAAACTAAACATTAACAAATATCGTGTTCATAAATTAGAAAGGAGAAAAAGGGTTACAAATATCATCACTGTTTGGTCACCCTTAATGAGTCCTGAAATGAGTTTTGTTTAATGGTAGATTCCCTTTTCTCATGCCCTCTTTCTTTAGCTGCATATTAGGCTTTAAGTGGGACTTGCAAATATGAAATGTTTGTTCTGACATTGGTGAGTTGAGGCTTTGATGAATTAAGATCCTGCTCGTCTTGACCACTGTCATTATATAACCAAATCCCAAGATCACAAAAATTGGTAATTAACCTTTGTTGCAATGGACTTGGTGTAGATGCAGACTAAGTAGCCATGGTTTTACCCATGCCTCGGCCTAATGAGCACCTCGACTCCTGGCAATGAAATGAACATCAATGAGGCTGGCCAGCTGCACTACCCAAATGATGTTTGGGATGGAGGAATGAAGGGACTTGCTTGTTACAACGATATGTTCAAATTAGTTCGGTATTGACTTCTTGAATGTTTATCCATGTTGTATCCTTTTTCTCTAGCAGACAAACAAATCCAATTATTCCCAGCAATGCAAGAAAGCTGGTTTTAGTCTTCCACTTAGAGAAAAAAAAATAGAAGGGGTGAAGGTATAAATCTCATATATTTATTCTTTTCTTTCTTTCTTCAAATTGTTGTTCCAAATGTTAGTGTTACGAGATGTAATAATTGTAAAAAAAGAATCCATAGAAATCCAAGATGTCTCTGCTTGATATCAATGTGTTGCAAGCAGATATTTTTTCACTTCACTCTTGCACACTAGGGTGTTTTTCATCTGTGGTTTTCATTTGTTGTCTTGTGAACTATTGGAGTTAAGTGAAAATGATGTAATGCTGTACCTACATACCTATTGAATGCAACATCCCCTCCCCAAAACCATTTAACATAATAGAAAAGGAAAAGAGAAGAAAAAAGAAGGGAAATCTGCTGTGCAATTAATATTTGAATACATACATGGATAAAATGTGGTCCAGGATGCTAAGAAGATGCAGTGGTTTTCACTGGATAAGAGTAAGTTTCAGCATTTCTGGTAGATCAAAATTAGATGGAAAAGGAAGATGGTCTGACTCTGACCTTTGACTGGACTCGAATAAGTTGTTAGCATCTGCTTCTATCTGTCAAGGAACATTTGGTTTGAAAATGGGACAGTCTTCTCTTTAGGCTTTCCTTTTAGTCTCAGTAATATTTTAATCTGGGGTTGGCGCAAGGGACTGAATAATTTGAATTCGCGTGGTAAAGAGTCTGTTTATTTTTCAAAGCACAAACTTTGAAACGTTTTGTTTCATGTGGTTTAACTTTTACCATGTGACAGACATGGTCCAACTGTTATATTGTCAGTGTGAATCTGTCATGTGAGAAGATATTGGGTGTTCCTGTATGAGATATATATGTTTGCTAAAGTGTGCGATTCCTATCTGATGGTGTTCCCCCCACTATACTCATAAGCCATAATAATTCCTTTGACAAAATCACAGGGGATTATTTGTGATGATTATTATTATTATTGACTTTTGAACAATTATTTGATCCCCTTTCCTCTCACCATCATGCGCAAAAATAGTACACACTCAGTGCACGGTAATGGATTATGATTACTCAAAGGGTGAAAATGACGACTCCACTTGAAATAAATTGGATTTGGTTTTCAAGATTCTGTATCACAACAGTTGAGGTCCCTTAGCAGCATCGATTGGCCAAAGAAATATTTTTTTAAGTCTGTTCTGGAAAGAATTACTCTACACCTTTTTATAAAAAAAATTCTAGATGATGACTTGAGACGCTGTCAAACTCCGTGGATTCAGGACTCTACCTTTCTTGGAATTTCCAATAAGCAGACATTGAAAGTTGTCTATATCAACCATATAATCAATCCTTATTTTACTATATATTACTAACAATTATGTTTAGTTGGCTATATTTTTACTCCCTTGTCGAAGTAAAACAAATAAAATAATTGGATGGATCGGGAAACCCATTGAATGGTCAACGGATCAGGTGATGTATTTATTATTTTTAAAATCAACACGATGCCAAATAATGTATATATACACAGAGATAACAGTTGAAGAACATAACATGTGACTATAATACAGAGAAAAGTCAGTTACATAAATAAATTAAAACCAAAAGAGAGGAAAAAAAGACAGAGTAAGTGATTCTTCCTCCATCTCTAAAGGTCTGGCTTTATTATCTGAAACATTTTCCACCTCTCAAATATTACTACCCATAGGTCATAGGATAGCAACAAATCCATAATTGCTGATAGGTGCAAAAGCTACTTTTGAGAAGCCATAATATAATCTGTTAGTTAGTGCAAGTGGGGGCATAAATATGGAGGAATTGAGGAGAGGAGAATAGTATGGTAAAGTCTCTCTCTCTCTCTCTCTCCCACGTATATTACACGCTTTCAAATATCCATAGAATAAACAAAGTCCACCAGCCATCTATCTATCTAGCCGTCCCAAAAAGTAAACGCTTTATTTCAAAAACTCATACCTCACCTTTTTGCTACATAAAAATTGCACCTTGTCAACATCAACTACACTCTCTCTCTTCTCTTCATGGGGTTAGACTAAAGTCTGCACGATCAACAGGACAAAGAATTGCCAAAAAAATACCCACATGGTTGATTGGAGTATCTTGGCATCTTCAACTGTCTTTCTTCTTCATCTTTAGTTGTCTAAAAATAATAATGATCATGGATAATAAAGACAGCCGCCACCAATCTGGTCTGACATATCATCAATTTCGAGCAGCCATGCTTCTTACTTCCTTTCATTCTTCTTCTTCTTTACCCCACCATAAATCTTTCTATCCAATAATATTGATAGTTGTTCTACTTCTTTCTTCTATTGCTACCATCTGTCATGCTTCCTGCAATCAGCTTGATCGTGACTCTTTGTTATCATTCTCTGTTGGTATCTCTTCACCTTCTCCTTTGAATTGGTCCTCTTCCGAGGATTGCTGCACCTTGTGGGAAGGTGTTGGTTGTGATGATAATGGCCGAGTAACCGCTCTCTGGCTTCCCTCAAGAAGCCTTTTTGGAAACATAACCCCTGCTATTGCAAATTTGAGCAAACTCTCTCAACTCAGCCTGTCAAATAATCGATTTTTTGGTCCCCTCCCAGATGGATTTTTCAAGTCATTTAGTAGCTTGCAGATCATTGACTTGAGTTATAACCGTTTATCAGGACGATTGCCGCTATCAGATAGATTGCCATCACCCATCAAGACAGTAAATCTCTCTAGCAACCACTTCAATGGGACAATTCTATCATCATTTCTCGAGCCAGCAATTAATTTAGAGAGTTTCGATATTAGCAACAATAGCTTCTCTGGTCCAATACCCTCCTTTATTTGCAGCTACTCAGCCGCTGTCAGAGTTCTTGATTTCACTTCCAATGACTTCAGGGGCCAGATGCCCCAAGGGTTTGGGAGTTGCTCCAGTTTGGTTACTTTGAGAGCAGGATTCAACCATCTTTCGGGATTCATTCCTGATGATATTTATAGTGTGTCAACACTGCAAGAAATCTCTTTACCTGGCAATAAATTTTCTGGACCCATCCCAGAAAGCATTGTCAACCTTGTCAACCTCAGAATCCTCGCACTCTATGGCAATGAATTGACAGGTTTGATCCCTCAAGATATTGGAAGGCTCTCCAGATTGGAACAGTTGCTCCTCCATATAAACAATCTAAATGGCACTGTGCCGCCATCGCTGATGACTTGCACCCGTCTCACTGTGCTCAATTTAAGGGTCAACTTCTTGGAAGGTGAACTCTCAGCTCTTGATTTCTCCAACCTTAGTCGACTTGGCATAATCGACCTTGGAAATAACTTCTTCACTGGAAGCATTCCACAAAGCCTTTTTTCATGCAGGTCATTAACTGCAATCCGTCTGGCTACTAACTATCTGACAGGAGATATCTTGCCTGGCGTAACGTCTTTACAAGCTCTGTCCTTCCTCTCGGTTTCCAATAACAGCCTAACCAATTTTGCAGGGGCAATAGAAGTCCTTAAGGGTTGTAAGAATCTTACCACACTAATCCTCACCAAAAACTTTTATAATGAAACGTTGCCTGATAATGGGAACTTGATTGGGTCTGAAGATTTTCAAAATCTCCAAATTCTGGGTTTAGGTGGTTGTAATTTCACCGGACAGATACCCACATGGCTGGTTAAACTTGGGAGGGTAGAGGTTCTAGACCTTTCTATGAATCAAATCACAGGCAAAATTCCAGGTTGGTTGGGGACTTTACAGAATCTATTTTACCTGGATTTGTCTCAGAATTTTCTATATGGAGGCTTCCCAGTTGAACTTACTCAACTGCAAAGACTCGCATCACAAGAGGCTGCTGATCAGGTCGACAGAGGTGCTTTAGAATTGCCTGTGTTTGTTCAGCCAAACAATGCCTCAAATCAGCAATATAATCTACTGTCAAACCTGCCACCAGCTATTTACCTTGGAAACAACAACCTTGATGGCAATATTCCAACTGAGATTGGCCAGCTGAAGTACATTCATGTTCTTGATCTGAGCAAGAACAACTTTACAGGAAACATTCCAGAAACAATATCCAACCTCACTAATCTGGAGAAACTAGACCTCTCTGCCAACAACCTCTCAGGTGAAATTCCTTCTTCACTCAAGGGTCTTCATTTTTTGTCTTCTTTCAGTGTTGCTCACAACAATCTTGAGGGACCTATTCCAACAGGAGGTCAGTTTGATACATTTCCTATCACTAGTTTCTTAGGTAATCCAGGACTGTGTGGTCAAATCCTGCAGCACCCTTGCCCTGATCGATCAGGAACTACACAACCTTCTGCAGTTAGAAAAACCGCAAAAAGGAAAATCTTAATTGGACTCATCCTAGGAATCTCCTTCGGCATTGCCTTCACAGTCATCATCATAGCATTCTGGATATTCTCCAAGAGGAGGATCCTTCCAAGAGGTGACGCCGAGAAAAATGACTTGGAAATTGTGTCCTACAACTCCACTTCTGGATTGTCTGCTGAGATTGGAAAGGATAACAGCATGCTTGTTATGTTTCCAACCAATAAGGATCAGATTAATGATCTCACAATTTTTGACATTCTGAGAGCCACGAATAACTTCAACCAAGCAAACATAGTAGGTTGTGGAGGCTTTGGTCTGGTCTATAAGGCAACTTTAGCAGATGGAACTATGTTGGCTGTTAAGAAACTTTCAGGAGATACGGGTTTAATTGAAAGAGAATTTAAAGCAGAGGTGGAAGTTTTATCCACTGCCCAACATGAGAATTTGGTCTCTCTTCAAGGTTACTGTGTGCATGATGGCTGTAGGTTGCTGATCTATTCCTATATGCAAAACGGAAGTCTGGACTACTGGTTGCACGAGAAAACTGATGGAGCATCCCTACTTGATTGGCCAACTCGACTGAAGATTGCACAGGGGGCAAGTTGTGGGCTGGCTTACATGCATCAGATATGTGAACCACATATTGTTCATCGTGACATAAAGTCCAGTAACATCCTCCTTGATGAAAAGTTTAAAGCGCATGTGGCAGATTTCGGATTGTCCAGAATGATTCTTCCTTACCAAACTCATGTCACCACTGAACTGGTTGGTACCCTCGGCTACATCCCACCAGAGTATAGTCAATCATGGATAGCCACTTTGAGAGGAGATGTCTATAGTTTTGGAGTTGTGATGTTAGAACTCCTGGCTGGCAGAAGACCTGTGGACATGAGCAAACCAAAGATGTCAAGGGAATTGGTTGTATGGGTGCACCTAATGAGAAATGAGGGTAAACAAGAAGAAATATTTGATCCTATACTGAGAGACAAGGGTTTCGAAGAAGATATGCTTCAAGTGCTTGATGTTGCCTGTATGTGTGTCAGCCAGAATCCTTTCAAAAGGCCAACTATAGCAGAAGTGGTTGAGTGGCTCAACAGAGTAGTATCCAACGAGGGAGCACCTAAATAAGGTGGTGGTACACATAAATTTGATGTAGATGTGAGTGTCTGTATAGGTGAACTTTTGCTTTTTACACGTAGGAAGTTAACATATAGGAATAAATGTATAAAGTGAACAATTTCCTCAATAAATTACATTTACGATTTTGCGTCATGGCTAACATTGGATGACAGGTAATGTTAGACATTTAGCAAGTTAAAGATCACAAACTTAGGCAGCATTAGTAACTGGGAATAAGATATGGAGATTCTCATTGGGCAACTTAACTAATTCAGTAATGTGTAAGAATGTAACTCCAATGCAGAAGATACTTGCACAAAAATCCCATAACATATGCAAAAAGAAAGAAACTCCCTAGAGGTTCAGGGATGGAAAGCCAGCATTCAATCTAGTAAAAGCAAACAGAAGAAAAAAGTAGTAGTACCAAATAGCATATTCTTTTTGGGGTTCAACAGTTTCTGGTTGTAGGACAACATGTTTATGTATACATGGGAAAGTACTGAAAATAAGAATACCGAATTGATGTTAGCACAAATTTACCAGTTATGCTCTAATTTCACCTGAAATCAGCTCTGACAAGTTATGCAAAAACTGGTTCGGCCATTTCCACAAGCAGGTTATATGCAAATGAACCCCAAACTCCAAACCAATTTACCCATATTTTCCAACTTAATAAGATAGTAGTACTATTAGTATAAAAATTACATCGAGTTTAAATTGAAGATTTTGAAGGGGTAGAAGTAGCTTTGTTAATATAGTTATTCAACTTAACCTTTTCAATTTACCAACACATTTTTCTGGGAGCAAAATACCCTATTTAGTTTCTCTCTTATTTATCATGATTTTATACTTAAGGGATAAAAATGCATGTGCTAATACATGTCATATATGTGTTGACTTAACATAAACATCAAATATAAATTAAAAAAAACTCCATCAATTTCAGATAGAGATAGGAAGAAAAAGTTATGATGACCAATAACCTTGGAAGTTAAAAGTCGAATATGCTTGTAACAAATTTAATAAGAGGTACTTTAAATTCCACTGCATTGATTCTGTCTACATTGGTAGGGGAATTTAGCAACTTTTGGAAGGCGACGATTATAATTTTAAAGCCCACTATATGCTTTATAACTACTCAAGGGTAAGGGATTAAATGCTTTATTTTAGCACAATAAAACTATTTATGTTTATGTGACAAATGGCATCGAGGGTAGTTTTTATTATTTGGAAGTGAAGATTCCTTTTACATGTTCAAGTGATAACACATTGAGGAACAAAATACTTGTTCAAATATTGCTTGTGGATTATATTTTGTTTTTAAATTTCTCCAAGTTGACTTTCAGGTGATTCAGCCTATGAATGTTGCATGATCCAGTTACACATAATATCAAATATTCCTACAAGTAAAAATCTCTCTCAACTCCAAATCTTTTTGTATATGGGCAACAACGGCTTATAACTAAGCTTGTGATTGAGACATTATATTAGCTGTTAAAATCTCAACTTTAAACCAATTTGCCTATTTACTAATTGTCCATGAAAATATCTTCTCACATTGAACCAACATAGTAGAACCAGGTTGGCGCAACCTAGCTAGTGTCTCATCTGTCAATATAAGACAGCAGCAGCATGTTGATGACCAACCTGGTTTCTAAATCCAACGACACTCTTATCTAATCTCATGTCTGTCTAAAACTAACTTCTTGAGAAATATTTGATCCAAAAAAAAATTGTCACACAAAAGACGACTAAACATACAATCCCTTCTTTTATTCCATTAAGGGCTGCCATCGCAGCCCTCCTTATTTATACAATCATACTAGTAGTAACATGCTAGCACATCACTATGGATGTTTGAATTACTATTCAATTGTCGATATTTATTGAGCTTCTATATTTGCTCCAGACATACTAGAAAAGTCAGGTAAAAACATTGTGGATTGCATCATTACAATTACATATACACTTGTTACATAGTAATAGCCTTTCAGATTATATAGAACAGCTTTGTGTCACCATATGCTTGGAAATGCCCTCTTATCAGCTTCCCCATCCATTTTTTTTTACCCTGATTGTCCAAAAACCTCTGTTTCAAAGTGCCCATCTACAAATCTCCCCTGTAATTTGTTCATGTACCAAAAAAAACCCAATAGAGTTTTACACCTATTGGGTAAAAAATGTGAAGTGGTACACGATCAAAAAGACAAGAGTAACTAGGCAGACTTCTAAGAAACTACGGAAGACAAACAGGACCAATACGACCAAGTGCCTGAGTAGGTAGCCGTGTTGAAGTATGTGACTATCTCGAGAGAGTACACATTTATTTACTTAATTATATCTTCAACACGTCCCCGACCCTCCAGATTCTTTTTCATGATCAAGCACGTGAAAATGATGGATGGAGCCAAAAAAAAGGGGAAAGCACATATGGAAACAAGGTAGACGATGTAGAGTAGGGTTATTTTTGTTGTACGTTTAATTGAAGTAGTGGTAGTAGTAGTTGCGGAGTTAATTTTGGGATTGACGATTGATGAACTTATTCATCCCCTTGAATATACCAACAGAGAAGCATAGTGGCACATCGGCGGAGAATGTAAATCCGGGCTCTTTGTTCTTTAATCAATGAAGCACACTTCCTTGAAATGTTGTTCTTTTTCTTTGATGATCCATTACTGTATGATGACACTTGCTTTACTTGTTGATCAGCCATGATTAATTCTTGATTACTAGTAGTAAAGTTAATAACTTTTGGTTTTGGGAGCGGAGAAGAAAGAAAAAGATTAAGAAAAGAGTAATAAGGGGAAAAAAGCTCAATTGGAGCTGGACCCTGATGGAAAAATGTTGAAAGGAAACAAAGTATTTATACCAAGAAATCAACCAAGGGGGTGGGGGGGTAAACAATGAACATGGTCACTTTGAAAACAGGGGGGGATTTGCATGGAAAGAAGCAGTAGTTTTAAAATCTTGGAGAAAGAGGAGTGAACGTGGGGTATGTATTTTACACTTTGAGGCATAGTAAATTGGAATTCAAGGGATGATTGTTATAATTTGTAGTTACGTGTGTGTTTGATTAGAAAAGTGGTAAAGTGGGCGTGAGAAAAGGAGGGTTGCTTAATCTGGACAAGGCATCCCTATGGGATTTTGAAACACAATGTCGGCTATTTCACTGTACCTTTTGGAGTTCGAGTCCAGATTTCCCAACTCTGGTTCCACCATGGTTCCAACGGCCAATAATTCTTTTTTTTTTGTTACATAGGTACCAGTGTGTTGTCTTGTTATCCATTCATATTAGTAGTCGTAATATTAGTTTTTCTTATCCTTTGATTCCTATTACTATATGAAGATTTCAATTATTTGTATTGTTTTGTTATTTCTTGTACCTTGTTACTTCTTTTTCTGGACTACATCTACATTGGGTATGTTATTATTGTTGTTGTATTCGATATTCAAAATTGGTTGATCTCAACCATCAATTGGAGGTAACGTCCAAAACCCAATCTGCCTTTAACTATATTATTGTTTTAATAATATTAAATCTTAACTCATTAGTCTCCTTAGAGATTTGTTTTATGTACCTCTTCATGAAACTGAAATGTTACCTTCATTTAATTAGAAGAAACCGAGCTGGGTGGGATATTACTCATTTATTTATCTACGTACTAATCTTGTTATACTTGCAAATATCAATATACAATTTTGATAGGATCCCAAATTGTTAGGACCTCAAATCTCAATAGATCTACTTGTTTATACTGTCCAAGTGTTGTAAAGAAAAAGATATGATACAGCTCATCAGAGATCTTTCTCTACTAGTTTATACGATTAGCTCAATGAAGTCCCAATTGACTGCTGCACTCTAACCCTACCATTGGTAGCCTAACTTATACTTCATATCTCTCTATCTTCCCTGCTAAAGATACTTAGTATCTTCATATCTTTCTTTATCACTTGCATAATTTTTACAACGAGTTTTAACTACGGGTTTGGTAGTTTTGTGTTAAAATTGTGTATTTGCATTAAGAAATCTACTTATTGCTCAGAACCAAATTATTTTTTGTAAAATTCAGATCCATAAACTCAAATGCATGTTTAACTTGGATTTTGGAGCCTACAAAATCCTGAATAAATCTGACAAAATGGGTCGGTGAAATAATATGTGAGTTATAAACCCAAAGAAGATCAAATGAAATATCTCAATCTTTAATCACAAATCACAATTGTATTCCCAAGAAATTGGAGAGATTTTGTGATGAAAGAAGAAAATTGTGAAGCGGCAATTAGGACAAGAAGAAGAGAGTACACATTCAGTGAACCAAAAGAGGCTTTTTCTAAGAACATTCCCTTTTTTGTAGATTGTTTCCAACCTTTCTTATCCAAATACAGTGTATGCCCAAGAGTGTAGCTAAAGTTACCCTCATCCCCATCCCCATCCCCATCGTTGTAAGTGAGCAGCAGTTGACTAATCATAATATATAATCTACTTTGCTTTACTAATTACTTGACCCCAACTTCTATTGAAACAATCTCTACTTCATAGCTGTTTTGCGTGCACATCACTCTCTCCACATCTCACTTATAATTAGATATTAAGTTGAAAAGTTGAATGCTTAAATAAAATGACATGGAATCGTTTGTTTGTTAAACTTTAGTATTATTTTTTTGGCCTAAGTCATACAAAATCTTTCAAAGTTGTTTGCATATTTCATTTGAACACCCCAACTAGGGTGAATACCTATAAAACACTTTTACCCGTTTGAATTTGAACACTTTTTTGACAATCAATTAAAAATGTTATATGTGTGTAATACACTCGTGGTGATGTGGCAAATTAACGAATTAACGACATACATGTGGAAATTTGAGGGGAAAAAAAAGAAAAACTATTTTGAAACCATGAACCTTCAATTTGTTCACTGTGTTTCGTCTTTATCTGTGCTAAGCTAAAGGATTTTACTCGTTCACAACTTCAATCATGTATTAATGGAGTATAGAGAGATTTATAATCAACTAATAATTGAGCAGGTTCAAAGCTTCATAAAGGTCAAGGGTGAAAAAATGTGCAACTCCTTTATTCAAACTATCGCCGTCCACTCACCGTCATCATCATCGTTCCTCTTAATTCAACTATTAATTTTTTTCAGAT